CTAGGGAACGGGGTCCTCCTAAATATTCCGCAAACCGTTAGTACGGTCACGTCTTCTCAAAAATCGGTCTATTTCTATGAGAAATGGAAGTCAGCCAATAGTAAAACACTGATGAATTCATGGAATATCCGATCAGTTCTGTGAGTCCCTAATCTGCTCAATTTTGTTGGAACGTTCTATAATTGGTTATGGCGTATATTTTTCTATAATATATATGTATATATAATTAAGACGTTTTCCCTTGAAATATATTTATTTAATGGATATGTATTTATTATACAACGGCAAGTCAGGATGCACACTGAGATCAAGTGGCAAAAATAGTCGCTGATGAAGAACATACTTCAGTGAACGGGTTTAATTACTACACAGCCACTTCACACGCCTAGAAAATGTCATCTCAACGTCTGCAAACCAATTGCCAAGCTTGGAGAACAGTTGAAAATAACTTCACTTTACCCAGGCTACGAAAACCGATTTTCGCTACTCTCATCCATACCGCTGTTAACATTCATTACTGTGTCAACGGAAAACAGCCCCCGTGATTACTGCTTACTTCGTGATAAAGGTAGCATGACAAGGTCATTCGAAGGAAACCAACTGCGCTGCTAACCGTGCCGTAAACTAGAAAAATTCCGAGGAAGANTTTACAGCCCCGCGGCTCTCAACATTCCAAAACCCAGTCTGACTACCAAATCAACCTTGTCCAACGCGCTACAAAATCTGCGATCTTTAGCAGCATCAAAACCACCAAAATTGTCCACTCTGGTAGGTTCCTATGAGTTGCCATATTTGAGCTTATTCGTATAAACTTTGTTAAAACGTTCAAGTCACTTCGCTAGGCTAGTTTTCTGTCTGAGTCAGTCAGCTCCAGGAAGCGGATTACTTAAAATAGTTTCTCATCAATAAGAGAAAGAAGATAAGCGTGTGTGTGCAAATTTTCCCATCAATTTAAATCTTTTGCTTAGAGTAATTGACCGTGACGTACGGTTTTGCGGCATGTGTGCAGCTGGTTAGCTACGCACCGTTCTCCTACAGTTGTGTTTCTCAGCCAAACCCAAATACTGACAAGGATTTTGCACGTGTTATAATCCAGAGAGATTGATATGTTGTCTTTCGAAAACACGCAGTCTGAATCCCTGCCCAGTAATCAGATTGATGTTTCCTCCCAACCCAAAAGAAACGTTTCATTTGCGCTTTTCCGGGGACTCTGTCACATCAGTGTCTGGTCAAGCAAGCGTTGGTATTTCTTTAAGCGCCAGGACCGAGGCTGGTCTATTGGATTGGATCCCGGTATGTAGCCGAGTATGCGCAGTGAGACTCCGAGGCTTAAGTAGTCAAGAAGCAGAAACCAAATGAAGGGTTCTTATTCGTGGCCTCTGCATACGCTCCCACAGACTGCAGCTCAGATACGGTCAAAGATGCCTTGTATCAGAACCCACGTGAGCTTCTTCTAGAAGCACCTAAGACGGATATCGTGATTCTGGCCGGAGACCTAAACGCACGCGTTGTCCGTCTGTTGCCCGATGAGATCTTAGTGGCCATCATGGTCTTGATAGTTGTGGTTCAGATAATGGGAATAGACTTCTTGGTATATGCGCAGAACACAATCCGTTCCTCATTATCACGAAATTCAGACACCACTTGGCGTAGTCCCTCTCCGGCACAGCTGTGGACTCAGATTGATCATATAGCTATTAGCTATAGATGGAGGGTGTATGAAAGACTGCCGTTCGTATCGGTCTACTTGCTTGGACTCCGACCACTCGCTAGTTTGTGCCAAGTTGTCTAGGCGATTTGTTAGCCGCAAAAGGGTGAAACTGCAAACAGCTTGACGTCATCAAGCTTTCCGACCCTATCTTGCTAACCGACCACCAAAACGAGTTGACTGCTACCAAACCATTGAGTGCAGATCAACACTTGGTAGCCATTGAAAACGGCATGCACTCAGGTAATTTACATGATTGAAGCCCG